GAGAGCACAAAGCTTCTCCTTCAATGAAAACAAAGTGGAAGATGACCTGGGGCTAAGAGATACAGGCAGGAACCCAGGCCTGGGAGTGCAGTTTCAGTATAGAGAAGCTTTGGGTGCAGATGGCAGGGGGCAGATCTCAGCAGGGAGGACAGCTTGTGAAACATTCATAGACAAAAAAAATGAGATGAAATGCTTTTTGTTTGCTTTTAGGAGCTCAGACCAGCATCTATTCTGTTAATGAATAGCCTGGAAGTTCTCAGTCGGGTCTTGAACAGTAATAGATCATGGGGCATGTTTGGTAGAGATGGTCTGAAAACTAAAGTATGGTTTTGTGTCAATGAAGAATAGAGAAGAGACATTAATCCTTTGGTACCTCGGGATTTAACCTGAAACCGCTGAAGTCAGCTGCCAAAGTGAGGCACGTTTCAGTCCAGAAGAAGAGCTTATGTTCTCCAGGATGTCTCTGCTTTTTCAAGCCTTCTTGGCTAGTCCCAGATATTGCCATCCCATGCAAAGCCTGGCTCTCATCGCCTGGCTGTGGTAGCACTGCTATCCCGTGTGTTCCAAATTGTGGCTCAGGCTTCCAGAAATCCCAACACTGATGGAAAAACAATGAGACTGAAAAAATATTACTGTGGGGTGCTTGCTCCACTGGCTTGGTTTCAGAGGAGTTGCACATCTTTAGCCATGAGGGGCTGGACAAGTGAAAAAAAAATGACATTTGAGAGTGCCTACAAACTGCCTCTGCATTGTCCTCCTAGACAATGCTTCCGGATCCCTCAGGGCCACGCTCCTCAGTCAACCATGCTGTCTGTCCCCTTCCATGTGTCCTGACAGGGCCTTGCTGACGTGCAGGAGAAACCCCAAAGGTGCCCAGCCCTGACAATGGCGTCCAGAGCAGCTCCACGAGTCACCAGCCGCCCAGAGGGCCTCTGTCTGGAATACTCCACATCAGCCAAAACTTATCCCAGGAGGCGGCGTGGCCTGGTTCTCCTCCCCACTGCACAGCCAAACACCTCTGCGCCCTCACGCATTGCGCGCAGCGGGCAAGGCCTACAGCCACCATCAGCTCCTGGCAACCCCCTGCATTTCAGAGGGGGCCTGGGACCACCAACCGAGTGGAGATTTCCAGCACTGTCTGTCACAGTGACAGCCCTGCCATGGTGGCTTTCACACTGCTGCTCCTTTTGTCCAGCCAAGAGGTGCAACTCCCAGGCTGCTGTCTGAGGCTGTCTAGCAGCCAGGCCTCTTCCAGCCTGATGGAGCTGCCTTCCAGATGCCTTGTCCTCATGGAGGCACAGACTGATCCTGAGTCCAGGGGAGCCCTGTCTCCAGTGAAAAGAGTTCATGATGCCTCAAGGACCTCTGGATGCCGTTGAGGGCCCTGATAACATTTGGTATCCTTCAAGAGGAACATCTGGAAAGGAATCATCCAGTGTGTTATTTCACTGCCAAAGCTTAGTCCAGGAGGGAGGAGAAGAGCAGCCTCCTCAGTCCTTGCTGGTGGAGAGCGGGGAGTGAGAACTCCCCTCCTCTTGGGCTTGCTGTAGTCATCTCTGTTGGTTGACCAGCAATGGTCTGCAGAGGTCAGGCTGATTCCTGGGGCAGAAACACATGGGGCTGTGTGGCTAGTGGTGGTACCGTGAGAATGGACCAGCAGGCTTACGCTCAGTTGCCTCAAAACCGGCAGAGGACTAAGCTGTCTGAAGAAGTTCAACCTGGCACTGATAAAGGAAAAAAACGCCTGCTAAGTAGAGAGATGTAGGATGTAGGATTTTTTGCTGTTGTTGTTAATTATGGAATTTAGTGTTTGGTAGATGGGAAGCTGTAAGTGTGCTCTATTGCAGATGTGATGAAAGGCACTTCAGTGAGCACTTGCCAGAGAGTTCATACTCTGAATTTATTGCCCATAATAGCAGAGGGGAAGATGCCAGGGTCTTCCCTCAGCACCTCTGCAGATCCATAGGCACTCACTGCTTCTTGGGAGCCTCTACAGCTCGTGCTGTGTTTGTGCTCCCCTCTTCCTTTCAGGTTTCCTGCTGGCCCCATCTTCCCTACGATCACCCCTCAGGTACTTGAACATATTGATCAAATCTCCCCTCAGCCTTCTCTTCTCCAGGCTAAAACGGCCCAGCTCGCTTAGTCTTTCCTCATACAATAGATGCTCCAGTCCCTTAATCTTTGTCACTCTACGCTGGACCCTCTCTAGAAGCTCATTGCCCTTCTTGTACTGCGGAGCCAAGAACTGCACACAACACTCCAGGTGTGGTTGTACCAGCGCTGATGAGATCCTGGGCTACAAGGGAGTAATGATCGGGACTTGCATGGGCATTATTTATTGTGAGGGCTCTGAAATAGGCAGCGAGAGGCACACAGTTCGGCTGGGCTCTGGCACAATGAAAGCTAGCAGGACTACTGGGCACTGGCCAGGCTGTGAGGCAGGGGTGGGAAGTCTCACATTGACTAGGAGTTGCCTACACACTCCGAAGGATATTTGCCCAGTCTTGCTGAGAAGTTTTCCACAGCTTTGTTGAGCAATGACATTGTTCTGGGGAGGAAAGGTGCAACATTGCCTGAGCCTGCATCAATCCTGTTCCTGTCCCCAGGCATCGCAGGCTATTCCTGCCTTAGATACTCTCACATATTCTTCCTCCTCTTTGCTCAGACCCGAAAATGGTGGGCACAAGCCCTGGAAAGCTCCTAGCAGTCTGTGAACAGATGGCCCAGTGCCCATGGAGAGCTCAGAAGCACCATTTGTTATCTGTCAAGGGCTCCTCTGTGTAGCTTAAGACCTGCTAACGTGGCCTGAGTGCTCCTGGCAGCAATGCAGGGGATTTCAGACAGTGCTGCAATGTTAGTCTGACATGTAGGGATGCTCATCTTGTGAATATCACAGGGTTTTTTTGAGGGTGTCTTACAATGTGGAATTTCCTTATGGAGTTGTGATTTATGCTGGGGATATATAACTCCACTTCTAAGCATTTTATTTCTGCAAATCAAACTAAATATGAATTTTTCCCATTCAACTGCAAATAAGCAGCCCCGAGGAAACAGAACAAGACACTCAGTATTTTTAAAGGACAAACCATGAGAATTGATTTTGAACATATGCAGGATGTCAGAAATCTGGATCAGAATCCAAATATTGTAACAAGACTTATTTTTCATAGCCTCCATTGGGGGTGCATGGGAGAGCTTTGGATTCTGTTACTAGATTTGAGGTGTTCATCACCTCTTTAGTTTTCATTCCTCTGGTTTCTTATTGACCTCAATTTTTTCTTTCATTGTGCTTGAGATAAGACTACAGGGGGCATGTGCAGAGAAGGGGAGCAGAGGTGGGCTGTGACTGTGGAGTCTATTTTGTACAAGGGAACCCGTTATAAGGTCCCTAAACTGCAGTGCAGCAGCCACTGTTCTGCTTATGAATCTGTAAACTGGATGTAGCTGAGCTGCAAATCAGGGGACACAAACAGGTAGATCTGGCCCATGGGGTCATTACACTCAGGGTCTCATTCTTCATGTATGTTGGCTTTAATGAGAGGCCTGGTCCTCCTGTCCTCATTAAGGGAATAGAGATAGCACCTGAGGCACAGCAGCTCTGTTTTGGCTGGGACAAGCAGGCAGTGAGGTGCTGAAAGAACCACCAAGGTGCTCTCACACGCAAGAGAACAGAAGGCAGCCACTGGTCAGCAATGGGGCTCATTTATTATCTCACAAGAATGAACAACTTGTACAGCTGAAGTAATGTCAGCAGAACCAAAGCTTTGCTCAGGGCCTGAGCTCTGACCACAGGGCTCCCTGCCACGTTGGGTGGCAGTGGGAGCGATTTGGATTGAGTAGGTGGGTTTGGGAGATCCCTGAGCTGCAAGGAGTGAACTGGGGGCTCTTTCCAGTGGCTTATGTCCTCCTGACGCCATCGTCTCACACGGCTGGCCTCTATTCCCTCCTTCTGCATTAGCTGCCCTCAGAATATGGGAGGGCAAACACAGCCCCTAAGCTGGCTGTCTTGCATGGGGAATGGGTACCCAAGAACTGAAAGCCTCTTCTAGGAGAGGACTTTGGGGACAGTGAGTGATCCAGATCTTGTTTCCATTACACTTGACCAGGTGGTACAGGCAGAAAAGCTCCCAGGTGTCTTCCAGGGTGCAAAAGCTACCCCATGAAGGGAACAAACAAGACGGGAGAGAGTTCTGTGTTCCCTTGGGGGCCATGGCCAGGAGTCACTGTGTTATCTCAGCAAGGCATTTTTCTGCCTTAGGGTTTAGAGATCCTTGTTAGACGCTGTGGGCCAGACACAAAGAGGTGCTGAGCATCCCCAGCCTCTGACACCAGCTCAGAGCGTGGGTCTTGTCTAACCCATGTGGCTGCTGGCGGATGAGCCAGAGCCTCCCAAAACGGAGGCATTCCAGACCTCTCGCGCACACACAAATACACAGCTTTTTAATCCCCTTCCTTTGCTCTTCCCATCGATGGCGTGGGTCGGACATAAGCCCATTTCCTGGGGTCAGTGAGGCCTGAAGAAGACCCCAAGGGGCAAGGCCTGCAGCATTGGCAGGCCGTTTCCACACATTTCTGCCAGAGCACGATGTTTTTTTCTTGCTAAGGCGTACTTGGCTTTGCTGCAGGCTTCTGCTTTCTGCTCAGGGCTCTTCTCAGCTTGGATGCTATGGGATGAGTAGGAGGAGAGTCTCCCTGACACATTTCCTGAGCTGCTGGGGCTCCCTCCCACGCAGTCACTAGCAGGGGAAGCTCTCACATAGGAGGTTTCTCTCCTGCCGTGGCCAGCCCTGAGCATCTGGAGCTCAGTCAGAGCCCGTCCGGGAGAGGCAGCTGGCAGTGTGGCACCTGATGCCAAGGCTTACGTGATGGGGGTGAGGATGGATGGGTTTTATCCGTGCTTTCCGTGCAGCAGCCCGCTGTCACCTTGCTGGCCACCGTGTGGTGGGGCTGGCCGTCAGTGCGTGGTGTGGGGCTGTCCTGCACGGCTGCTCAGAGGAGGGTTATAAGTGAGATGTGTAGGGTGGTGAGGGCGGGGTGGAGAAGAAGGCTATCCGGAGGCTGCTGCTGGCTGCGTCTCGGCCTTCCGAAGCGAGCAGAACCTCACTGTCATTGAGGCAGGGACAGTGCTCGGAGTAGCCCCTCTCCTTGCCCCTGGTGCCCACTCTTTGCTGGCAGGGGACGAGTGTCATGGAGGGAAAGCTGTAGCTGTCAAGGACGGGGTGCACTACCAGGGAGTCAGGAGTCTCGAATATGTGGTCGATGTCAGAGAAGCTCACGAGAGCCTGGGTGGAGTCATAGGAGCTTTTCTCCATGTCATCAACCCTACAGGACTGGGTGTAGCTTCCCTTGTCCTGGCCCTTCTGCCGCAGCAGGCGGAGATCATCTCTGAAGTGGGGGTTGAACAACAGGTAGAGCAGGGGGTTCAGGCAGGCGGGCAGGGGCAGGACCACAAGCAGGATGGACTTGATGACCTCTGGGGTGATGAGGAAGAGGTTGAGCATGGAGGAGAAGGTGAGGAAGGCCACTGGGCAGTAGAGGAGGCAGTTGGTGAAGATCAGCCAGGCCACATGCTTGACCATGGCGCAGTCCCAGACAGCGCTGAACTCGCCTTTCAGCAGGTTGCAGTAGAGCCGGATGTAGGTGCCCGTGATAGTCAGGAAGCAGAGCATGTTTGTCATCACTAAGGCCACAGTGAAGCCCAGGGTGGCAGGTTTCCCATCCGGGATGGGATATGGGAGGCAGAGAGGGGATGCTCCATATTCCCCAACGGAGAAGAGAGGCAGAGCTGCAGCAGCAGAGGACAGCAACAGGCAGCAAAGGGCAGCGGCCACTCCTACCAATGAGGCCAGCACGGAGAGGAACCCCGTCACCCTGCAGCCTGCGCCGCTCTCCCACCTGGCACCATAGCTAGCAAACTGCCCGTAGGTCAGGGAATCCACCAGAGCCAGCATGCTGCAGTAGACGCCGGTCAGCATGTTGGCTCCAGCTATGGAGCCGATGACAAACTTAACGGGGGACAGGTAACTGGGAGAGGCAAAGACGGCCACAATGACCAGCCCGTTGCAGAGCACTGAGACCAGAACGATGGCCCAGACGCCCAGGCGGATGATCCAGCTCTCAAACAAGTGATCACAAGGCTTGAAGGGACCTGAAAGAAAACAAGGCCTGAAGTTATTCCCAGCATATCTTGCTCTGCTCTCCTGATGCTGCTTGGAGCCGTGGCCTGGTTCCAGACGTCTCCCAGCACATCAGCCTCATGCTTACTGAATTCCAGGGGCTGGAAAGAAGCAAACAACGTCGTCTGCCCTCTCCTGCAGCAGGATCCGCATGCAACTTCTAGTGTCACCTCTTGGCTCTGTCCTAGGCCTCCCGTGTCCCTGCACTGGGGTGTGCTCCAGCATGCAGGTTAGGGCCTGCTGCCAAAACCTGTCTGCAACAGGCACGAGGTGTGGGAAGAGGGCATGTGAGGGGAGAAAAGCCAAATTTATAAGGGCTTTGTAAATGTAAGGTCAGGTCTCAGCATTGCCACCGCAATGGCCTCCTCTGTGTGGAGAAGGACACAGCAGTGGTGCAGTGTGGAGAAGGGCGCTGCGTAGAGAAGGGTGCTGTGTCCACTCCTCATAGGAGGGCAGCTACACCAGAGCGGGAGAGCTGAGACATCCTCCTCAGTGGCCAGAGCCCACCCATTCAGGGTGGCCCATGGAGCCAGCTGTGTTCAGAGGTTGGATTTTCCTTGGTGCTTACCAGGGCTGGGTGTGCACTGTATGGTGGGGTGCAGCTTTGATTCCTCAAGATCCAGCTGGAGGTCATCTGCATCTAAGTCATCTGTGGAGAAAACAACAGAAATGGTGCTCAGAGGAGAACGAGTGGGGCCATCAGGGTTAGCAGGGCCATCAGCTTTCCCCACTGCCTGTTTCCTTTGATAAAGACCCTTCCAGTCGGTTCCCCATCCACAAGTTCAAAGTAGCTGCTGTGTCCAATTTGTCCCCTGCAGTCAGTGCTGTGGAAGGAGAAGTCATGGAGCTGTCTTGTAAAAGCTGATGGGTTGCCATATGGCAATTCTGTGCTTTTAGAAGGTTCCTCCCAATATTTGAATTATAAGAACTCCAGATCCTAGAGTTATGTGAATGCAGATCCCTCTTCCCAGCTTGTTTCTTTTTTTACAAAAAGAAAAACTCTGGCCTATGTGGTTACAGAAAACAAAGCCTTTAAATGCATCCTCTGGGAAGGATTTGTCCAATGTTAGTTCATCAACAAGGACTTTGGAGTTTTGTTCTGAGAGAGCTCTTAACCTCTGCTTCAGCACAAAATCCTCCTCACCAGCCACTGCTACCACCAAATGACTCAGAAGCAAAAAGACACCCCCTACCCCAAGCACTTGGTGGTTTATTTTATATCTGATGATTTCTGGGGAATGTGATGCCTTGCTTTTAACCTTGGAGGTTCCCAATCCTGGTTTTGCTCAGAGACAAAACCAGCAGGTTCTGGATCCTTGTGATCTATGCAACTGTGAACCAGACTGTACCACGCTCACAGCCCAGCCTGGTGGACTGGCTTCTCTGTCACTCTGGCCAAGCTTGGCCTCTCTGAAGGGGGAGACAGAGACTCCTTGGCCGGGGGACAAGGTGCTGCAAGATAACGTGGTCAAGACCTCAGCTGTTTTTTCAATGGGCCAAATGGTGAAGGTCATCACCAAAGTGAATGGCATCTTCTTAGTCTAATCCAAGACATGCTTTTCTACTTCAGTCACTGTTGCCCTTCTCAACCCTGCTGATTCACAGCATTTGGGAATGGCACAGAGAGGACGAGAGCTGCTGCCCCATCCCCAACCATGGCACCAACACTGGCCTTCTGCTCCCAGTGAGGAACTCTGGAGCTGTTTTCTGCAGACAAAAAGGAGGAGAGAGGCTGTATTTTCTGCTTGCTACATCTTGATAGCCAGAAAGCTTAGACTGGATCTCTGCTTGTGGAATGAAGCCTCCCTTGGATGATGAGGATGGATGCTGGCACCGTGGTGCACAGCAGTCTGTGACAGCTCCAGCCTCTCGGCCGAGAAGGGCAAGTGGTGTCAAGGTGCTGAGGATGTGGCCAGCTCGAGCAGGATTTGCGTGCTTGATAGAATGAGAAATGGTCCCTCTCACAAGGCCTGCTTTCTGCCTGTGCTTGAAAATAAAGCTTGGGATGATCTGATTAAGGAATGATGACAAATAATGTGCTATCTTTAGTGCCTCCTGACAAGTATTGTGGCTTTCTCGGCTTCAGTGGACTTTGGAAAAAAAAAAAGCCATTTTGAAAAACTGTTTAAGAGTTGAAATATTGCTTCTGCTCTGGAGTCTGGCAAGAAAACACTCACAGCGGTATGGAAAAATATTTCCTTTCTGTGTTTTATAGTCTCATAAATCTCCAGTGTCTTTTCCATCCAGAGTGCAGGGGCTGTGATGTGCCGTCACAGCACTCCAATCAGTGCAGAGATGGCCACTCTCTGTACAAATCCAACCCCTGCTAAAGTTGAAATGCAGTCTGTTTCCATTGCTTTTCTTTTCAATAGCTCAGAATGCACAAAGACTGTTCTTAGGTGGAAGTTTAGCATTTGCATGAAATGAAGGCATTGAGCTTTTTTTTTTTTGCCAGACTACCACCCTTGGCCAGCACGGCAGGATTCAAAGCAGAAAATGTTCTTCCCTCTGCTGGAAATCGGTACTTCCCTCAGCCAGGGAATTGCAGAGGAATGAAAGCGCCTATTCTGTTCTTGTAAGGCAGACTGCCTTGTTTGTGAGTTTTGACTATTTTTTTGAATATTAAGGCACCTCCACTTTCTGAGGCCTTTTAAAAAAAATGCTTAACCTTTTCAGTGACAAATGGTCCCCATGAATGTGAAAGTGGGAGGAAGAGGAGGACAACTGCTGTCAGCCTCCCGGGTGCTTAAACTGCATCCCTTAAACCTCAATCTATCTGCTAATGGGTTGGGTGCTGCTATTTTACCTCAGTTCACGATTTTAGATATAAGATGTTGCAGGGAAAGGATAAATCCTTGGTCTACAGCCAGATAGAAATATTGCTTTCAGAGAATCATTGTTATTTTTGTGGCCAAACTATATGACAATGAAAAGATTTCCTAACAAATGTCATTACCAAGGAAGGCAGGGGAATCTGAGTATCATTTCAAGCAGGGGGCATCTGAGTCCTCAGAGTTTGATTTGTCTGTGGACATAAATCCAGCTAGTTTACTCCTCTCAGCTCCCACATGTGGTGTATCTGCTTCATCTCTGGTTACAGAAAAAGCCAAGATATAGTAGTATCAACCTAATTTGTAAGTACTATATGATGAGAGCAGGATTTGATTTTGCTTCTAAGGAACCTGGTGTCTCCCTTTTTTCGGTACTGTTGATACTACAGCAGGACTTGAAGGTCTCCAGAAGTGTTCCTGGGGAGTAGATCTTCAGGTACTTCTGTGAATGATGGCACTTTGCAAGAGACTGCTGTCCACCAGGTACAAGGATAGACTTTCCTCCATACATGCCAGTGTGTGATGTACAAACATTCCCCTGGATCTAACAGAAAAGCCTTGTACCGTGCGTTGTTACACACAGTTTTCCCAAATCTCTGTCAAGTCTGTGTCCTCTGCAAAATAACCTTGTGAGGGATGAGGGAGCTCGTGTTACTATTCAGGATTTGTAATTTACCAAGGTCTGACATTATGTTTAAGTGGTGAATTGGAGAAAACAGCTCTTAACCTACATTGAGAATTGCTCAGCTAATTTTGCTATACCACAGAGATGTTCATGAAAAGATGGAAAGGAGGACAATGAACGACCTATTTTCCCCCCATACCACCTCGATTTCAGCACTTAGAGAAGGATGCTGGCAGAGAAACTGAGGAAGGGCAGATAGAAGGGTCATCCCAACTTAAACTACATTGGGAAAAAGGTGTCTGGACATCTGCTTTCCGTGGGCTCTGGCAGGCCTCTTGAGTGACAGGGGTAGGAGAAGTGTACCTCTGAGGACTCTCTAGGGCTCCCTGAATGGCCGTAGCAGTTAATTAGTCAGTTTTACAAGCTAATAGAGATGCTGGGCTGGGCAAGACAGGCATTTCTGTTCGTACAGGGCTCCATGGTGCTGCCAGGAGCGTTATGTAAGACCTCGAGGACATCGTCATCTGGAAACTTGCCCCATCCCTCCCTCAAGTTCTCCCACAGCACTGCCCTTATGAGCCTGGCCACACACTGCAGGGAAAATGTCCTGAGTTATTTGCTCTTTACGAGGCCACTTCATCTCTTCCAGGGAAGGAATGCCTGGGAGCTTTCCTTCCTCTGTAATGAGGAACTGCTACAAGATTCATATAATAGAGCTGAATACCACCGGGGACCATCAGAAAGGAGGCTTTGGGAACAGAAATAAAGCAGCAATTAATTAACTAAAACAACAATATTACAAAACCCTCATTGTCAAGAAGAGACCATGCATATAGGCCATGCAATAGGCCATTTTGTTGAATGGGGAGTCATGTGCTAAGGCTGTGCTTAGCAGGGATGTTCTTGTGCATTCAACATTTGCACCTTCATAGTTCGCCCAGGGCTTTAGCCTCTGAAACTGTGGCCTTTTGAGAGTAGCTAAAAATCTCTTCCAGGCAATTGTTCCACATTTTTTTCTACATGATACTGGTCCTAATGTCTCATAAACATACAAATAATCTGAGGAACTGAGACAGGCCTGGAGAACTGGGAGCCTTGTGGTAGGTACTGGTGTTCAGATGGGACCAGGATGGAGTAACCTTTCAGATAACAAGTGGCTTCAGTGGCAGTGAACTGTCCCCAGCAAGAGCAGGTCTGTAAGCACTGCTGCCGACCCTCTCAGCAAACCATGTCTTTCTACAGTTTCATTGAGGACACTGTAATTTACTGGTCAAACTCCCTGAGTATATGCACTAAGATTATTACTGTATGGTCTGCACTAATGATGGAAAAAATAACCCATCTGAGAAGAAATTCCAGCAGCAATGACCTTAACATGTGGCTCCTCTGTACTGTCTGCCCAGTGTAACCAGCAAGTCCAGCACACTACCTGGAGTCACGTCATGCTCATATTTGCTGGGGTCTGACATTTTACACCACAAAAGCTTATTCTTCGACTGTGAAGTATCAGAGTGGGGTAGATGGCAGGGACAAGGTATCAAACTGCATCCGTTTTCCTGCCTCCCATCCCTGCTATAGCACAGAGTTCCCCATGTAAACCCAGCTGCTCTGGGTCAATATCTTTCTCTGTCTTGTCTTGCCTGCTTAGGAAACAAGAGGAGACTCTGATTCTGGCCTGTTTCTGGCAGGGCTTAAGGTGCTCCCAGGAGAAGGTGACTAAAATGTGGCTGTCCTGGTCCTGGAGGGCACAGCATCCTCTCTATTTCCCACAGGAGTGCACTGAGATGTAGATCTGCTTGAAGGATGCCCCAGGCCTTGCAAGTGCATGTGAACTCTGTATTTACACAAACATATAAACAATGTGAGTTTATATGCCCAAGCTGCATCCTAAAATGCTATTTCTGCTCTCTAGCAGTTACAGAAGAAACAAAAGAGCTCATACTTTTCTTTGCTTTTTTCTTCTGAGATTCTCTTCAAAGGGGATCAGACCAGCTTTTGACAGGGAGCTGCCACCGACATGCAAGACTGTGGATACAACAGATTTCGAGAGCATCTATGCAGAAGTTATTTGGAGCACTGAAAAAAACGAGTTTTGAACAGAACTGCCCGCTCAGTCTTAACTGTGGGGCCTCTTGTGCCCTGCTTAGCCCAGCCCCTGTGCTGAACCTATGTTTTTCTTGAATTCTTTGGTCTCTTTTCATTCGGGTTGATCTTAGAGACCATCCTCAGCAGAGTGATAGCTACCGAGACTGGCATCCTACCACAGACTTTGTACTGCCTAGTAACCAAGGCCAGAAACTGGTTCATGTAACCTCGGCCACCTCATCCAGGTGGCTCATGTGGCCTCCTTCGCTCTGTAGTCAGCATGGTCCAATTAGTGCCTGTGTCCATGCTGCGACTGCCAAATGTTTTTGTGAGACAGAGTTAGAAGCACCGGATAAGCTCTTCCTTGTTTCCTCCAATGCAGTGACACTGGCTGAAGCCCATTCACAGATACTTGCCACCAGAAATGAAGAATCATCACTCTGCCTTCTCTCGGAGGCAGGTGTAACTCCATGGCTTGCAATGGAAACACTCCTGCAAATGCTGGATCACATCCAAGTTTGCAGCGTGGTCCAGCCCACAGGTTGGTCACCATTCAGCCACATTTACTTACAGTGGTTATCAGTGTGACCTGGAAACAATTCCATGGTCCTCTTATGGGGATCCTCCTCCTCAGGGCTCATGTCTTCTGCTTCCCATTGGTTCGATACCTTGAAGAAGCTGCTGCAGCTTCCGTAGGCACAGCACTGATAAGCGTAAGGTACTTCAAGGACTCTGCAAAGGGGCAAAGCAGAACATTTAGGCACATTGGTTCCATGACTCGATTCTCCATTGCTTTGCAGTTTGTGTCTGATTTTCACATGTGGTAAAAGCTTATGGATCAACAGGTGGTTACACTGGAGCAGGTGGTTACACTTCTCTCTGGTATAAGGGAATCAGGGCAGGATAGAGTGAGGATCCAGTCATCCCACTGTGCCTCTGCAGTGTCCCATTCTTGGTGCTTAAAAGACTGTCTGCCTGCCGGTGGGATATCATCAAACACCAGGTTTGGAAACTGCACTCAAATTCCTAGACAATTTCCTAAAACCTTTCTGCAGATTTCCTAAGACTGAATTAGCCTAGCTTTCCCATGCTTGCCACATGCATGTGGAATCATCGGGTGTTGCCTTGGGTCCATCTTTTTGCTGGGCACCCTTTCATTTCTTCTTTAAGATGAAGAATTTCCCAAGAGCTTGAGCAAGTGCAATAGGTCAGAGACGCACAGACAAGCTCTGATTCCATGACTGGGGCTCCCTCTACCATCCCTGGCAGGGAATTTTCAGCTATCTCAAATGCAGCAAGTCATTTGAATATGTCTGCTTTCAATTGTTAGTTGTTAATTATAGTGTGTGTTACGTGGTTAATTAAACAGCAGCTGAACAGCATCTAAAACAATGGCTATCAGTTATAAGTTTTATTTTCTTCAAAGACAGAAAATGCCTGCTTCTTTGCTGGAAGTCTGACAGATTGCTGATGAAGTCAAGTGAATCTTAAGTTTTTCAGACAGTTAAGGTCTTCTGACAAGATCAGTAAATATAGTGAAACTCTATAGTCTAAAAATATGCTTTTATTTTAAGTTCCCAGACATTTTTTGGCTGAGCCCCGGGAGGCTATGGGAACTCTGTATACAAACTCACTTCCTGTTATAAACTCCAAATTAAATCCTATCATTGAAAGGTGGTAAGGAGGTACAGATCTTCATGACATGGCTAAAAACTGTTCTCAGATGGTTTCTTCAGGCATGTTAAGTTTCAAGAACTACAAGTTTCAAAAAGCTACTTAGTGGCAGTACCTCCAAACCTTGGGAAAGCATTGACTGGCCTGGTTCGATGAACCAGTCCTGCAGTCTGCTTCGCTGGCACAAATCCAAACCAGCTCCACAGATGCCGGTGGAATTGCTGTGGACAGGAAAGCCCCTGCAATTGCTGAATTTGCTCTGCTCTGCACAAAGAACTGCCGTCTTGGGTGTGGAAAGCCCTCCAGAAGTTTGTGAGATTCCCAGTCATTTGGGAAACTGTCATGCAGCAGATCCAGGCTATGATGAGTCAGAAAAATCAAAAGACAGAGCCCCGCAGGCACCACTGCCCAGGCAGACTGAGGCGAGAGCTCAACACGTCTTCTCGTTAGACCTGTCACTTGGTACAGTGACCTGTAACTCCAGCAGTGAGGGCCTAAATTTGAGAAACCCTGGCCTTGGGAACTCTCAGCTTGTGCTGGATGAGAGGGAACATCAGCTTCAACATCCTCGCTGGCAACATATCCCCAAGGCAATTATTCAGGAGATCCAAGCTGGACATGGTCTTGTTGGAGGGCAATTCCAATCATCTGGAGCACTGTACGTGTGTCCCTCAGCGTGAGGGACTGTGGAGTGCTGCAGACCCACTGCTAATGAAGCTACAGGAGAGCCAGAGCCTGCAGTGCAGCACTGAACTCCAAGCGTTTTGTAGCCTCCTTTTGCTCAGTTTGACCCCTTCAGGCTCCTCATTAATCCATAGCAGAAGAGGCACGGCCACACAGAGTTTACTGAAAGCAAGCTGGATGTCATTAGCTAGGACTGGCTTCTGAGAATGTTTTCCATTGAGCGGAGCCCTTAGCTGGGCCTTCTTCATGCGTTCCACTCGTGTGTGTGTCTGGGGGTAGGGCCAACGGGCCTGGGAGTGCATCATCACTTTCCCATGGAGGACTTTACAAGATGGATGAAGCACATTGGGAGCAGACGAGGCTTGCTCAACCTACATGCCTGGGAGGATGGAGGAAAGGATGAGGCAAACAAGCAAAACAGGATGCTGATTGATATCAACAAACACAAGTTATCCTGAGAGCCAGAAGTAAAGGAGGGAACAGTGCCCAAGGCAATATTAGTACCTCATTTTGGGGAAGCTCTCCTTAGAGAAGGGTTCAGAGAGAGACGGGTTGCCTTGGAGCTTCAGATGGGTCAGTCCGCCCAAGCCATTGAGAGGCAGCGTGACCAGCTGGTTATCAGTCAAGTCCCTGGTGAATGGAAGGCAAAGAGGGTCAGTCTGATGAGGGTTTCGATGCTGGTGATATCAAAGCCAAGCAGAGGCTCAGGGTGTCATGTGTCTGCCTTGGTTGCGCCCTGAAATGAGATGCTGAAATGGGCTTGGGTGTTGCATGGGGGCTGGGTTCCTCAAGAGCTGATACTGCAAACCCTGGAGGAAATGGGGAGGCTAGCAGGGGTTAATACTGCTGCTGAAAGTGCTGTGTGATATCTACCTCCTTGTGCACCTACCTAATCTCATGCATTCTGCCCCACCCCCCCGCCACTTCTTGCTATGGTAAATCAGGTGTAACTGTAGCTCATGGCTCATAAAATACTGACAAGTCGTAGCCAGGGGACTGATGACTGGAAACCCCTCCAGAACCAATGGAGATGATCTGTGATGACTATTTTTGAAATGGACCGTGAGGCTGAAGTGTAATAAAGGCATCAGGCAGGTATGAGGACATCAGAAAGTGGATGTAATGTGTTAAGTGTCCAGGGTGTGAATATCTCCAAGATGGCCATTTTTGCACTCTCATCCTCCCTCTAATATTGACAGGCCACCTTGGAATTTGGTTTGCTTATGTAAAGCGCTGAGACAAGAACCTCTGGTAAGACTGAGTGCCTCAGCACTGAAATCTAAACACCAAGTGCCCTGGTAGCTCAGGAAGTCAATGGGAAGTTCTCAAATATCTGCTTTCCATGGCCCTCTGTGAAAGAAATATCACTGCAACTTACAGCTTGGTGAGTGAGTGCAGAGTCACGAAGGCTTCAGGATGAATAAACTGGATGTAATTCCAACTCAGGTCTCTGCAAGGCAAGGATATGCCAGTAAGAGGGGTGAAGAGCAGAACAATAAAGCTGCTGACGCTGGTCTAGGTCAGAAATTAGATGCAAACAAGTGCGGGATCTGCAGCTCCTTGGTCTGCCCTACGTTCTGTCTTATTCCGTCTTATACATCTTCCAGACACATCCTGGGCTGGTGCATCCTATGTACTGCTAGACTCTGCTTCACTGACCTCCTTACAGCCTCTATCAACACCAGTCCTGTCCAGGGGCTCTCTGTGCAACAGGGAGATTAGGGAGAAGTTTTCCACCGCAGAAGGTTTCTGTCCCTCTGTTTTTACAAGGAGAGGTAGAAGAAAGTTGGGACCAGCCAACCTATTGATGAAAGCAAAGCCTCCCACAGAAATAGAGGGAAGAGGGCCAGGATTCTCCATGTCACCTTGATTGGGAGCTAATGCTTCCCCTTCCCACCCTGAGAAAGGGTCAGTCTGCCAAGTTGGCTATACTTACATGGAACGCAGGGCCATGAGCTGTCCAAAGGTGTCTGCTCTGATTTCCTGGATCTTATTGTGCTGGAGACCACTGAAAAGACAGAAGCTGACTTTAGAAAAGAGCTGAAGTCGCATTCGTGCTTTGCAGGGAACTCCATCCCAGTGTAGCAAAAGTAAACAGTGACACAGGGTATGCAGAGATGGGAAAAGGGGTGTTGGAGCAAAGCACGGAAAGGTAATTCAAGGCTGTTTAGCTGCAAGGGACCACCTGTGTATTGCAGGTAATAACCTGCACATCGATAGTTACAGTACAGCGACTGGCACGTGGAGCTGCTTGCATGCCAGGCATGCCATGCACCACCAAACGTGTTTCCAACTCATTTCCCAGAAGAACTGCAAGTATCTGGTGGGGGTGGGGCTAGCAAGATGATGAGTATGGGCTTAAGGGACCAAACTTCCATTTTGTAAGAAAAAGTTAATTTAAGACATGGTCTGTTAGAAGTTTGAAACGTAATGTAAGAAGTCTGAAAGAGGAGTTTACTGCACGTTTGCCTTCATGCCAATCGAGAATTTAGTGTATTATGAAATACTGTAAAAAGTAATATAGGCACCATGAGTGAAACCACAAGTTAGAAATTCTGAAAGTTTGTCTTTTTTGGGTCTTTTTTGGTATTTTTAAACATTTTCATAGGAATACTTTAGATGAAATTATCACAGGATTCCCCCCATCCCCCAGACCAATGTTAAAGATCAAAGCTTTTGGTCTGGAGGGAAGTTTTGCTGAAAATTTTCTGCCATATCTGCCCTCAGAGTTCCCAAAGAGGCAGCCTGGGCTGTGAGGCTCTCCGTTTCCTATGAAACTGTCCTAATTCTCACTTTTGCTGAGGCTGCATGAAATGCTTTGCCTCTTCAGGCTGTGACGCTGCAGAGCGCAGGGACAACCTCTCTAAGGGGCCTTGGACTTTTTACTCCTACAGATCATTCTAAGCTCAAGACGCAGCGATGCTGTAGGTGAGGTCTGTGTTTGGAGGCAGTGCCCCTCAGGCAGCCCCAGACCAAGATGAGAGTGCGGAGATCTCTTTACTCACAGCTCCTCCAGCCGCTGACACCGGTGGAAACTGGGCAGCTCTTCAATTTGATTGTGCGACAGTTCTCTGTAAGGGGAGGACCAAAACAGAAACATTAGGAGACCAAAAATGAGTGCTCCAGAGCCCTCTGAAAATTATTGGAGAAGGGAATGACCTGCCCTCCATTTTGCACAGCTGCAGAGAGCAGCAGCCCCAGGCGAGGGGGTCTCCTCCTGCCCCTTGCTCTGAACGTCTCCCACGCCTGCTGTGGGTCAGACTCCTGCCTGAGCGCCCCAGCAGTGGGTCCAGGATTTTGGGGATGAAAACACAGGGGCATGCATCAAAGGATTGCAAGCCAAAGTCAAGGAGATGCAGGGGGAGCCTGGGGACCCCAAGTGCTGACTTGTCTGTCTTCCAGCCACTGGGAAAGTTCTCCGCGAAAAGCCTAATGTGGACAATGGGAGACCAGAAATGTAGTGTAAATAATATAATCTCTGTTTGGATGTGTGTAAGTTCTTATGATATCCTGATGTACTACGAAGGGCTGCAGAGTGGGAGAAAACAAGGAGGGCAACTGATATCTCCATGAGGAGGCCCAAGACCAATGGATTTCAAAGGCAAGGCTAATGCATTTCAGAAGGCAAGAGAGATGTAAACATGCACAAACATTGGCCCATATGCCCTGTTTTCAAACTCTGAAAGCAATGCAATTAATGTCAGTGTAATTAACTAGAAAGAAGGAACAAGGTGGAGTGTCCCCATAAAAATCTTCCACAAGGAAACGGGAAGGGATGAAGTCCAGGCTCTGCTGTGAAGGTTTACGTTCTGATAACTTGCAAATATAAATAGAGCCTAAAGCATCCTACAGCTTTGGCCATTCCAAAGACTACATTTTGGTGGCAAGATGTCCACTGAACTGGTCCAGATGTCTAAAACTGAGAGATCTTCCCTACAGGGACAGCTGGAGCCCAAGTTCTGTGATCTGCTAAGTTGCTAATTATGTTCTTTTATTTTTATGTTATTCTCTTGTTTCCAAGTTCTGTGATCAAAAATTCACTCCTGTTGCTTTCCTGGAACAAACTTGTTTTTATTTTCGGCTTGCTTGTATAAAGACTAACTGACGAGAGGCAAGCTGCCTGCTTGCCCCAAGGCAGCAAACTTGTGTAAATCTAGTTCATGACAGAGGATGTCTTCAACTGAAGACAAAATTGTAGATCTCAGAGGAGTGCGCTTCCTGAAAAGATGCAGGAATGATCTGGGCCATTGATTTCATCATGTGCCATGCTAAAGAAGAAGTACATGCCACACTCAGCATCATTCATTGCCTTGCAAAGCAAATATGGCCAAAGAGATTTGGTGTTTTGTGCCAAAACCCAGTTCTACCACTGCTGCACCTTTTGAGGAGCCATAGGACCTTGCAGCTCCTTGTCAGATCAGAGCTGCACCCTCCTGGACTGTGCAGCACCATCCTACCTCCAAAAGATGGTGCTTCCTGGAGCTCCAGCTGGGGGAAGTCAGCCTTGGAGCAGAGGCTGGCGTGGGTTGTGGTTTGCACCTGCCTCTTTTGCAGCCTCCCTCTAGGAACTGTGAAATGCTGCCGTTCTGACCCACTGCCATTTGCCATCACTCTGCCTTCCTTGCAAAAAGGATGCAAATGTAGATTTGTCCAATTACTTACAGTGACACAGACTGTCACACTGGGCTGCGCTGGGATGAGACAGGTAAGCTCAGGAATATACAGGGATCATGGCACTGCCCAAGAAGGATGTTTTCTGCATAGGAAATGTAGCAGCTGCAAGAGCCTTGGCTCTGTGGGATGGTCTTTCATAGCTAGTTCCCTCACTGAGCTGGGCAACAAGTAAGCCCAATTTCTGATGCCCTGTTCCCAAAGAGCAAGTAGGACAGAGAAACACATGTTACTCACAGGACTCGGAGACTAGGTAGCTGCTGGCACATCCCTCTGGGAAGTAAATGGATACCTGCCCGGGTCAAGGTCCTAGAGGAGAAGAGAGAAGAAGGCTTTACTGAGAGCCTGCACACAGACTCTGCTGCCCCCAAGTCCAACTACCAGTTCCAGCTGGTGACAAGAGAGACAACATAAATGAGATAGTGAAATACCTGCAGAGAAATCAAAGCTTGACTTGGAAATGGAGGCTGGATGACAGTGGACATTGCTGATGGGCTTGGCAAAAGGAGAATGTTCTTGTAACAAATCCTGGGACACTGGTGAGTATTGAATTCATTGGTGTCCCTGGCCATATCTAGCATGGGTAGCAGTGCCTCTGTGTCATGCTCTGCTGTCTCAATTCCTCATTGTCTGGACTGGTGGTTTCCCTGGAGCTACGGTTGCCTCAGAAATGCTGTACAGGGAGGTAGGGAGGATGGTGTGGCAGGGCCAGGGCACAGACCTGGGCTGGGAAGCTCAGAAGTGCTTCCAGGCCCTGCAGTCTGGCCACAGCTGTGACCCTAGTGCCATGGAGCAGACATCCATGCATGGCCAGAGACAACGCGTCCTCCAGGGCTGCCTGCTCTCCTGGGCTGCAAACCCAGCAGATGCTTCTGTCCCTGCACTGCCTCTCAGCAGATCATGCTGAAACGCTGTGCCCAGAGCCTTATTCCTTCACAAATGCAGAAGGAAAGACAAACAATAAGAAAGGATGGGAACACACTCTACTGAAAGAGTAACTCACAGAGAAGAGAGCTGCTTTCATGAAACACAGGAGTGAAACAGAGAGCTGAATGACCAGGAAGAGGCAGAGCTGAGGAGAACTGCACAGCACTGCAAAAATTGTCCTTGCTGAAACAGCCTGAGGAAGGAACAGCCTTGAAGAAGGAACAGCTCAGATAGCAGGGTAAAAGGGAGAGATTTGCCACTCACAAAACTTCCAGGCTGGTAGTTCCTTTAAGATCTGGGAATTCTCTGATGTCTGTTGCACCGTTGAGCGACCTGCAGAGAAATGCGGGTAACATAAATTGAATGGAGGAACTGGAAGCGAGTGCAGCTGCCCAAGGTCCCAGCCCATGTGCTCCCAAATGGCAGGTTTGCTTCGGCACAGGGAGGCCCGTGTCCAACTCCGAGTGTGCCAGTGCTCACTGGCTGGCGGAGAACGCATCCCACACTGCACCGATGCGGTGAACCAGAGCTGGGCCTTTCCATCCAGGAGGACTTGGCAGGCTCAGGCCCTCCCGCCCCCCAGCAGCTGACATTCTTGGCGTGCTCTCTACACAAATTAAATTAAAGAATAGAAACAATTGCCATGGGGAATGCAAGCAGGGCATCCCACCCAAGCCTCCCAGGGATTGTATTTTGGAGCTAAAGAATGCATGTGTATTTGGAGGATTTATTTTATTTGCCTGGCTGCATGTCCCTGAAGAAAGAGGATGTGTGAGGGCTGTGGAGAGAGAGGTTTTGAGGTTACTGCTGACTCAATACCTAGCACTGTGCTCCAACAGTTTAGCTGAAAATCCAGCCAGGTTAGGCCTGTGTGAAGCAGCTGTTCTGGTTCAGATCCTGCCTACCACCTGGTAGTGACCCCCAAGTAGGATTAGGGCCATATATGTATAGGAAGCCCTTGTCAGCTCCATCTGCCCAGTAAGATTATTTGCGCGTGGTGGTGGTGCTATGAGGCACAAGTGTTCCTGTATTTCTCCTTCCCTTGGAGGAAGGCAGGTATCTTCAATTCCTTTGTCTTGTTGGGCAACAGTGGTTTCTGTGGGGAACACTATGCAATGGTGCAGCTTCAGCAGTATATAGCATATATAGTGACACTTGTGAGTATGGTTTTTGCTGAGGCTGATGCAGACATGGAGACCATGGAAGACTCTTCAGGTGCTTGATAGCTGGGAGGATAGGAGGAAGAAATTTCCCCCTCTGAAATCTCCTTCTCAAAGTTATTTTCTCTCAGCAGAAAACAGCTGCAGAGTGTGACCCTTCATTCACTGTTTGATCAGAAGGGCTAATCAGAAGGGGCTGATAAGAAGAGCAGTGTCAGGAGGTTCTGCTGGCACAAGAGCTCTGGGAAGCGGGAAGGGAGAAGCTAAGGTCTCCAGCTCCCAAGGCTTGGAGCTTGGTTGCGTTACCTCTGAAGATCTGTTTGATGAACTTACAGAGTGTGTAGCTTTGGCAAGTACTGGAAAGCAGACTGTCCAACAAACTGGATGGGATTGTCATAGAAATGGCTGCAAAGGAAGTGAGTATCTGGTCAGAGTCTGCTGTGCATGCCAGAGAAGATGCCATTATAAATCTTGGAGAATCTAGGAATAATCTAGGTAGGAGGTGCTGCCTACCCAGTGAAAAAAACCCTACTTTTCCAGATAACCCGAGACTCTTCCACCAGCAATATTTTGGCTGAACTTTGGTACAAATGTTATCTGAAATCCTGCTACTTTGGGATAGTCCTTTAGGGGCGTGATCAACCAGGCGGCTAGAAAGATGCAAGTCCTTTTTTATTCTTGCTAAAGGCTCTGACCCTGCTAGGACATACCCTACGCTTGACACTTGGCCTAATCTTGCACATCTAAAGTATCTTCCTTACTTTTCACAGTCAGTGGAAAGAAATAAGCTCTCTTAGTATGAACCAACTTTAGACGTTGTATCACCTCCTAGAAGTATCACTTTCACCAACTATGAAGGACTGTAGGTGGGCAGATCCAATGGAGACATCAGCACTGTGGAAGTGTCCCACCCCTGCATGACTCCAAGGATGGGAATGAGATTGGATTGCTAAGACTGGAGCAATGACCATTTTTACTAGTATCACCACTGATTTCCAGGTGTTGATATTTCTATAATGTAAGTACCAGGCTAGACAAGCAGAGCTCTTGTCACCTGTCACGATCGGCACAGGGAAGAACTGTCTATACTCTCTGCTGGACTCTACGTCAGGATGAAAATGCATTGGCAGGTCTACTTATCCCACTGCAGAACTTCGTGTTCATGGCTTTGGGGTAGAAATGCACTGCTCTGGGGTTATAGTGTCTCCAGTCTCCCAGTTCCCAGCACGTATCATCCCTGCTGTAACCAACCAGCGGCATTTCTAAAGACTAGAAAAGGCATATGCAAACTCCAAACGGGGCTTACAAAACACTGATATGTACCTCAAGGTTTCTATGCAGGCTACCCATTTATCCTTCTTTGTTAGCAGCCTGATACAACAACAGAATTCAGCTGAGGGGAAAGGAGAATTCATGTCAGAAAGGCTAAAGCATACTTGAGAGGGAGCTGGTTTCAACCTACATTAGCCTGTATACCATGAATATCAAATTGTGATCATGGCAACAACTGTCAGGAATCCCAACCAAAGCCATCAGGAAACGCCCCTTTCTGCAGGATAGAATGATTTAGGAAACACTGTTTAATTTGCTTACATTGTTTGGAGGAGGGGATTCCCAACAAATGCATTCTCTGGAATAGCTTTGATGTTGTTGTTATGAAAACCGCTGTTGGGAGAAACAAATATTTTTGTATTAATAGATTAGAAAGGCTTGGAAACACCTTCTTTCCTCACCGCTTTTAAAGGCAAAGAGCCTTCAAAACACAGAAGTGGTAAAAAGGAAGGAGTATGTCCTGTTCTAGCTGCAGCATCAGCCCAGCAAAGGAACGAAGTCTCTCCTCATTTGGCAGGGCACAGTTCTCATTTTGCTGTACTCCACTCAACTCACCGGGATCAAATGGACTCAAGATTTAACGTTTACAGGTCAGGGAACTGAAGCAAACAAAACACACTTATTTTATACTACCCAGGAATTACATTTTTTGTGGACGGTCCCTTTATTTATAGCTGCACAGCTGTTAACCAGAGTCCAGTCTGCAGCGAATTATTGGCCCAATTGGCTTCAAAGAATTTGTACATCTAGTCATGAAGATTTTTGTTAAGCTTGAGAAAATGACCACCAGCAAATTTTCACAGCAGAACAGAGCTCTGGGCCAGTCTGATCTCCTGTATAACAAAGGCCAGAGAGCTACGGACACGGGTTCCTGTGTCAGACACCAAGTGCAGGTTCTGGGTGATTATCAGGTTATTTAATCCCAGAAGAGTCTGCTTTAGTGGTTAGTCAGGTAGCTGTTTTAAATTTGCTTCTTCTTTAGTGATATGTATTTCAAAAGCCACCTCAAAGTGGATTGAGAATCTTGTTCCCAACTTGAAAGTCGGAGTAACGATGATATCTGATCTGATCTGAGAAATCACCTACAAAGTTCCCAACTTGAAAGTCGGAGTAACGATATCTGATCTGATCTGAGAAATCGCCTACAAAAGAAATTCTTTCAGTAAAAGAGAAAGATAGTGTCAGATCTTCTCTGAAGTTTCTCAGAAGTTCCAAAACAATCACTTTTGTTCCATCCCAGTCTGTCACCAGTTTGACACAATCTTAGGGTTACAGGGTCCCCGGGGACCATGGATCCACATCACCCAGACTTGACGCTATCTTGCAGTTTCTACTTTGTAGATGCTAACTTGGATGGACTCCCAACTTTCGTGTCCCCTAGGCTAAGCATTTAGAGGAGAGCTAGCCCATAAAGTGGCTATAAAATTGTGGGGTTCTCTATTATACATTCGTCTGTGTGAGATCAAATAGTTTATGCACATCAAAGGAGGTGGCACAGGGCCTGCAGAAGCCACAGCCTTAACATCACACTGGTTAGTCTATGGTTTTGGACCTGATTAGGGGAAAGGACTCAGTAAGTAGCTGGAGATCAGACAGATTCTGAGCTGGCATCAGATGCCACCAGAGAACGAAGAGCTGAGGAGAAATCTGCTCCAAGCCTTACAGGAGGATCCTCGTCATCCCTCAGCCTGCCTTGGCCAAGGGTGGCTGTGAAGTGATTAGAATAGAGGGAAATAAAGGGTTTAAAATGCTTCTATGTGTACAGAGTGTGCTCAGAAAAACAGATGAAGACTTGGACTGAGTGTTGTTCCTAGGTCAGAGCACATGCAGATCTTTATTGGTCACTCTCCTTTGGAGGACACTTTTAAAAGGGAATAAACAGAAAATCTCACAGCTCCTGTAGTCGACCCAGAGTCCTAATAGCCCCAGGGAATTCCAACAGCTCATTGTAGTTCAGATCCCTGAAAGACAGAGAAGGGAAAAACATTCATTAACAATCCTGTAGGAGCTCAGCTGAGTGTATCGGTGCTTTGAAGGCATGGAAACTTGGTTGTTAAGCAAGGGAGATGGTTTTTTCCTACCAAACTGATCCAGCCACTGCCTGGAAACAAATTCTCACACATTCCTGCAGCAGGACTATTCCCTGCTGGCAGAACTGTCAGGCGAGAGCCAGCCCAAGTGTGGCTGCTCCGGGGTTGGTGCTGTCTGACCCCTTTAGCAGAGCCCCTCAGAGCTGGTCCATCTTCACCCTGTCCCCCTCTCCCAGAGACTTACCCCAGACGCTATGGTATGAGGCCTTTATCTTGCCTTTCCAGAGCCAAAATGGCATGTTAGAAAAAAACAGAAATAAAAGGGCAGCTTCAGATCTGCAGGCCCCACACAAGGGCTATGTCTGTGCTTCAGACACATGGGACATGTTGTGACTGGGACTGTGGGAAGAGCAGACTGTGGGAAGACACCTCTTACTCTGGTGGTCAAGAAATGGTGAGCTAAAGATGGAAGTGATGTGGAAGAGGGCTTGATACTGCTGAGTGTTATGTTTAATTTGCAATTTAATAAATCATGTAAAATATCATACATTTAATATAGTGAGGGATAATGACAAGGGTAAGGTCTACATACTCTAACTTGGCAACCAGAAAAGACATCTGTGCCTGAATGAGCCTCGTGGACTATATTCTTTTTTTCTCCAAGGATGGGTTAGTACCTCTAAGGAAGAGGATTTCTTTGAGGAGTGAGGCAGTGCTGACAACCTGGAAGGAACGGCCCTCGGAAGGTAACGATCGTGCTGATGACCAGGGGGAGCTCAGGGAGGCTGAGCTTTGGATGTGTAATGCATCCTAATTTAGCGTGTCTAATACTGTCCTTGGAGAGATGATTCCAGCTGCAATGGTGCCATTTGAACCTATTGTGTCCATCCCACAGATGAAGGCAGTAAAGTCTGAACACCACGTGGCTGCTTCCTACTTGCATGAAACTCACTGGGTTTTAAGTGGTAGATACTTTGGAACATGAGGGTAATTACTGGCTCCTGGAGATTACTGTATAATTACACTTAATGGACCTCAAAGTAATTGCTGTGTAACCTGGATTGTGGTTTACAGAACAGAAATAACCATTCATTTACACAGCAATGAGCTGCTGCCCAATTACCCCGTAATTCTCAACCTCTGGGCCTAGGCATGGTAATTACTCCATGATCTCTCCTGACCCCCTTCTCTGTGGTAATTACCTAGTGCCTCTCCTTTACCAGGGTCCATACATGGAAAAGTCTCTACAGAGCTCTCTTGACTTTGCCCCTGATGGGCTGATGCCTGATTGGAACATGATTTACCCAGTAAATCATCCCAGATAGTCTCTCCAAGTGGCTCTTCCCTTGGGTCTTTCTGGACTCCACGTCTCTGTGATTTACTCTATATCTTTTGCTTTCTGGCCCTGCCCCTACTTGGTCATTCCCCAGTAAATATTCTCTAGAATGGGTTGGCCTGGGTGGGTTCTATCTTGTGTACCCCTAAATAGCCCTTATCAGACCTGGCTGCCTGGATTCCCTTTGCAGCCCAGAGGGAGAGGCAGGCCCTGCTGTGACACGATCTATCTCCCCCACCAAAAGCTCTTTTCTCTTTTCCCGGTTCAGAGGGAGTCTGGATGTCTATGTTGTGTGTGTAGCTTTGAGCAAATGAATCCTAATCCTGTAGTACGCACATCTCATGAGAGAGGACCTGGAAATGGTTCAAATAGCCTGATAAATCTGAACGCTGGCGATCAACAGGAGAGGATCAAAGGCCCAGGGACAGGGTCACAATCTCTGCTTCCCAGCCCCATCCGACCTGCAATGTGATGGCAGGTTCCCCATGCACAAAAAAGCTGCTGCGTGTGTCCCTAAGGCCCAGGAGTGAAACAGGAGTGATGAATCCTCTCCTCCAGCCCAGCTCACATCTATTAAATGTGAGATCTCCTCTTCTTTACAAAAGAGCTTGCTTTGATGCACTTAGTTTTGATATGGGTCCAAGAAGATCAGGGACCTTTCCCAGTCTCTTTGCTTGAGTCCAAAAATGAGTTCAAAAGGAGATGCCTAAGAAGAAATACGCTGGCATGTGATGGTTGCTGCTTCTGACCATTCCAAGGTGCACATTGCTTGTTATCTGCAGTTTGTGTGTTCTTAGCTCTATGGTACCTGTCAAGCATCCACTCCTGCCATGTCTGAGTGCTTTCCAATTACACATATGCACTGGGAGAAGGCGGCAAGACTGCTGTGGTGCAGTCTCTGAAATAAAACTCGAGGCAAAGAAGTAGCTTTTAAAAGAGAAAGAATGATCAGAAGTGAAGAAAGGGCACTACAGGGCTTTTTGAAAGTATCAGTCAAATCCAATTAACCTTCAGATCATTGCACTGGATAAAAACAGAAGGAATTAGCAGCCTAAGATGTCCGACAATCCCAAATCTCTCTCTATCTGTGTATAAGGTGTTTAATACCTTTGAAAATCTCACCCTACAGTCTCTTTCTAAGGTTAGAAGGACATTTCACAGCAGAACAGGAAGATGCAGAGGTTACTCAGAGCTCTGTGTGTGGGGCCCTGCGGTTTTCCTTTCCCTTGTAAAAATTCCTGCGCTCCAGGTGCTGGTGCAACGCTGTGCGATGCAAAGTGACCAGCCCAGGACAAGAAGCAGTGAGACCTTCCCCATGTGACACAGCCCGCTGTGGCCATGGGACATTATCTGTGATGACCCAGGGGGTTTCTCCTCAGCGATACCCAACATGTCTGTGAGCAGTCAACAGATGGAAAATGTTGCCCAATAAAGATAAGACTTGGCTCACCTGTGATTCACTAACAGAAAAAGTGAGCTTAGATCTGCAACCAACACTATTTACAAGGAGTAATTCAACATGCTGTAATATTTGTTCCTGTCTTTCACTAAAAATGCATTTCCTTTCCAGCTTGCCTTTCTTCCAGGCAGAAGGCAGTCCAGGCAGTCTTTCATCAGCAGATGAACATGTTGTTTGTGCTTCAGTTTGGGTGCAAGTATGTACAGGAGCAGTTCTTCCTGAATGAACGCACACCTTTTCCCAGCCCTGGCAGCACCTCTGGGCCTCCCACCCCCTCTGCAATAGACAGATACAAAGAGCATTGTGTTCAGCACATCCCTCTGGGGAAAAAAAAGAGCCACCTCTGACTTCTGGCATGGAGTGGGCTTGTTGGGAAGTGGAAATGCAACCAGGTGTAGTCATACTGCTCCAGCCTGGCTGCCAGCAACGACGGGCTACGCTGGCTCCTGCCAGCGCTTCCTGGTTATCAGCGAGGTGAGAATAAACCCGACCGTGTTCATTAACAGCTCCCCCGAGTGCTAGCGAGCAGCTGCTCTTGATCTATGTGCCGTTCTTGCTGCCCCAACTTGCCTCCAAGGCTGCCCTGTGCCAAACCCTGCTGATTTCAGAAAGTTCATCAGGTTTGGAGAAAGAAGCCTGCACTCAGCATGTTCCCCAAGGCTGAGCTCTCCCGCTTGGTGGGGCAGCCAGCCCCATATCCAAGCCCACACATATGGATGGCCTCCCTGCACCTTCTCGTCTTTTCTCGGAGCTCAAGGGAGGCCCTGGTCCAGGCAGTGACTGAGAAATGCTGCTGACCTTCCCCAAGTGTGGGACTGTGCATATCTGGGGCAGTGGTGACCCCCACAGGAGCAGGACTTTTCATGAAATTAAATCCTCAGGTTGTTTTGCAGGTATCTGCAATCAGCAAGACTACATGTGTACCGGATACCTCTCCTTGCTGCCTGCTGTCTCACCACCAGCTTTGGCAAATCTTTGCTGGTCCCAGCTCCATGCTATGACACTTTCTCACAATGTCCATCTTTGGCATGACACAAGAACACCTATAAAAAGCCAAATGTGCCACCAGGTGACACTATCCACACTGGGCTACTGTGACACTGGGGGAGCCTCTCAATCCAGGGAGCTGAACCTGGTTCCACTGGGGTCTGACCTGCCCCAGCTCAAAAGTCTGCACTAAGATTGGCCGGATGCCACTGTAATATTGCCATCTCCAACCGGAGAGCACCATGCCAAAGCAACAGAGATGCCTCATAAAACTGTGTGTAGAAGAAAAAAAGAAAAGCCAGGCCATAAAGGAGAGTGTTTTGGCCATTACCAAGGACTTTTGGAAAGAAAATCACTATGTCAAGAGTTTCAGAAATGGCGTGCGAGAAAATTACTATAAAAAAATCACTTTCCTTACTTGTGCTCCAAGTTACCAACTCTAGGCATGGCAGTGGGATGTCGAAAGGGGCCTTGTCTGTTCTCCTAGTTAGTATGAAAAGCTCTTAAAGGTCACCCAGCTTGCCTGAGACACAACGAACTGGCTGACTTTCCATTGTTGTTATTTCTAGAATGAGCCTATAGCTTCATATTTGCAAGTTCTTAATCAACCCTGTTGTTTATTTAGAAATAAGAGTAAATTGACATCAAAGACATAGTTATTTTGGGCTTTAACTGTCAGAGTGATTTGAAGCTGCCAACACGAAGCCTGGAACTATTAATATCTTCAGTTGGGCCAAAAAGAGAGAAGGAGGGGAAAAAGTCTCAGGTCAATTTTCTGCCTTTTAGGGGCTATTAGTGGTTCCACACAGGAAGCCAAAAAAATTATATAGTACTATAAATTCTTCCATAAGCCACAAAACACCACAAATTTGCAGCTAATAAACCTTAAGATGCAATAGGATTAGAAGCTGGAGATGGGACATTTGCTAACTATTTCAGTCCCATTGCAGACTCGAGTTGTCACTCTGTTGCCCTGAAGGTAGCCTTTCTACAGCCTCTGATAAGGACTTGTATTTCCACCTGCCCTTGGCTGGTATCTAACCAAGCTGCCAGGGAATTTAATTATCACTGCTCCTAGTTGTGCTGGTTTCTGTGGGCAAATCAAGCATTGGGAATGATTTAATTGGTAGCCTGAAAGCTCAAGGGGTC